TAGAGTTCCCTCTTTAAGGGAACTTCCTGGAAGTCTCACATAGTATTTCTACTTACATCTCATTGGCCAGAACTTAGTCCTAAGGACACTGGGAATTAGAGTCTTTAAGCTGGCCTCCCTGGTGCTCTGAATGAAATTGGGGTTCTGTGACCTAGGGAGGAACAGAAAATGGAGTTTGAGCAGACAGCTGTGAGGCGCTACCATGTTCACTTATATTGCACAGTTAGTATAGTTAGTGTACTTAATCAGACATTGGAGATACAATATTAAGGAAAACGTCCTCCCTTTATATGAGGCTCTCTAGGCTTTGGGAGAGATGGAAACATAGTTATTTATAATGCACTTGTTTATTTCTGCACAGACTTATACAAATATAATTTGTCAAAAAGGAGATAATGGCCCATAATATGTACAAAGAGCTAATTGAACTCCAGGGGAGAATTGATTAACATGTACTGGCTTATTTAAAATTTAACAGATTAGACCTTAAAAGTTCTCGTCACAAGAAAAAACATCTGTAACTATGTGAGGTAATGGATGTTAATTAAACTTGTGGTCATCATTTCACAACCTCTACAAATATCAAATCATTATGTTGTACACCTTAATCTAATATAATGTTATATGTCAATAAAAACACAGTTTACGAAAAAATAAAATTTAACGCTTAATGGCAAATAGGTGGTGATATTTATAAGTACATTTGATTTCAAAAAGAGGACTTCACCCCTGTTCCTGGATTTCTGAAGCATCAAATGTAAATAGATATGTATAATATTTTTGTAAAGAAATCACATAGTCTTGTAATCAAATGGTGCCTTGCCTTGTAGCCATGGAATCAGTCAAATTAAGAAAACAAGATGTATTCAGTGAATAGTTACCAAAGCAGACGATAAGGGTCATGCAGCCTTAGAGCTGGTAGCTTTGTTAGAAATAACCCAGCACACTTCCTTATTTGATGGATACGCAGGCTGAGGCCCTTAGATGCTGCCAGATCGACCCGGCAAGCCAGTGCAGACCAGAACTCTCTTTGAGTTTCTGTTTTTTAAAAAATTAATTAATTGATTAATTTTATTTTTGAGAAAGATTAGCTCTGAGCTAACATCTGCCAGTCCTCCTCTTTTTGCTGAGGAAGACTGGCCCCGAGCTAACATCTGTGCCCATCTTCCTCTACTTTATATGTGGGACGCTTGCCACAGCATGGCTTGCCAAGCGGTGCCATGTCTGCACCTGGGATCCAAACCGGCGAACCCCAGGCCGCTGAAGCAGAACATGTGCGCTTAACCGCTGTCCCACCGGGCCGGCCCCTGTTGAGTTTCTATTACCCATTTTAGGCTGCCCTTTTGCAGGAAGAAAAAACCCTTGAGAGGTCTCCTTTGGACCCATCCTCCTTTTCCCTGAAGTGATAAGGTCCAGTGTAGAGCTGAGAAAGGGACCTGTCCAGAAGTTTTCATGCTGTTTTCCTTTTCTTTGGGTGTGGCTCTGGAAGGAAGGAAGAAGGCAGGGGGGTCAGAACTCTTTGTGTTCTCATTCATTCATTAGATGAAATAGTGTCTGCATTTTACGGCAGCTGTGGTGGATCAGTCTTAAATGCATCTATCATGCATTACCTTTAAGACTGCTCCTGATTTTGAAAGCAGTGGTTCTACTTATGGACCTAACCACTTCTGCAGGAATAATGATTTTGTGGGTTTATTACAGTATGGTCTCCAAAAGCTTAAATCATTCTTGGCTATATTAGCAGTTCTGAAGTGTTCGTTTGCAGTAAGCTCCTATCATGTTGTAGGTACTTTATTAGATGCTAGAAATCAAAGGCAATTTGATTTTAATTAAAAGAAGTTTTCAGACTAATGTCGGGGGAATTGATAGACTTACATACATAATACATTGGGGTGATGTAAACACCCCTGGACACAGCCCTCAAGGAGTGCAGAGGCACTTCTGTAAGTCTGGTAATGGGTTGAGGTCCTTATAATCATTTACAATGGCATGGCCAAGAATAACACTTTTAGCTTCAAAACTTTGTATTTAAAGGAAGTGAATATATTCATTTTGCATGTCTTTAAGGTTAAAAAAATTTTTTTTTTAATTTGATTCTTTAAAAACTGATAAAAGTGATCCATAGGTTCTTTGGTGAAAGATTAGTCATTCTAACACTGAAATGAAAAGCGAAACAATCCTCTGGCCCTCCTGTTGCCACCAGCCTCCCCGAGGGGAGCTATGTTCACAGTTTGTTTTGCAGAGATGTCTAGAGAGCTGCAAATCTGGGAGTTGGATGTGGATTTATAGAATCATAGTGTGTGGCTAAGAGAAGGAGCCCAGGGATTATCAGTATATTGTGCAGAGTAAGAAAATACTCTCAAAGTTAACTACATGACATTAAGAAATTACTTTAGGATTGTCTGAGAAAGTTGATATTTATCTGCCTTAGGGTTGTAAGAAAATGAATCTTTGGAACACATCAAGGCAGTAGACTCCCAGGAACAACCTTATTTAACTTCTATTTTCAACTCCTACAAATGGATAGTATGTAGTAGATGCTTTGCTAGCATAGTAGGAGTCCTCGTAAAAGGAGAAAATTTTTTTGAATATAACCTTAAATTTGACATAGATGTGTATGTGTGTGTGTGTGTGTGTGTGTGTGTGTGTGTATATATATTTTTTTTTTTTGGTGAGGAAGATTGGCCATGAGCTAACATCTATTGCCAGTCTTCCTCTTTTTGCTTGAGGAAGATTGTTGCTGAGCTAATATATCTGCCAATATTCTTCTATTTTTTGTATGAGGGATGCTGCCCCAGCATGGTCTGACAAGCAGTGTGTACGTCCGGCCCAGGATCCGAAGCCATGAACCCCTGAACTGCTGAAGCAGAGTGCACGAATTTAACCACTACACCACTGGGCTGGCCCCTAGATATATTTTTTAAAAGCATCTTAAGGAAGGAATCAGAACTTTATTGGACTCCCTTATGCTTATTTATGTTTAATATCTTTAAATCTTTCAGATACAAGTGGTGAGATACAGACTCTGGGATACCAGAGGAGTTTCTGTGGTCTTGGTCTGTCCCTGGGCATACAAAACAATTAATGTCCACTGAATGCCCCTCCCCTTTCGCTTGGAGGATTTTCCTTGTCAGACTCTTTGCCGGGTTCCTCTGGAGAAAGGCAATGGGGAAGATTCTCTCACTGGAGCTTTCCCACTTGCTGGTGGAATAGGCCTTAGCAGTTGTACCGTCATTGGTGCCTATTGATCCTGTTGGGGTTTTCCGGCAACATGATAAACCTTAAAACCTTACTGATGCCCTGCCAAATTCATAACTGGGGTTTCTGTGCAGTCCTTTGGAATTAGACCTTCTTCTCCGACCTTCTCCTCCAACTTCTTTCACTTTCTTGGTTCCAGATCCGCGTAAACCTCCACTTAGCAGCCTCTGCAGGGCCCCTTCCAGTAGGTGGGCCTGGAGGTGGGTTGAGTCTCTTTGGTCTGAAGTGCTGTCCTGGCTCCCAGGCTGCATCCTCGTCAACTTTATTTTGACGAGGAGTGAATATTTATGTTAGACAAAGCTGTACAGGGGAGGTGTTTCGTTTTCTTTGGCTCTTCTCACATACTGCATCTTCAGATTCCAGGATTCTGCCATTTTTCCACGGTGAGAGAGTTTAACTTTTACAGTTCAATCAGGTATATAAATTTGACCTTCAGCCTTTTGCTTGCTGGTCACTGGCACACAAGCCTCTCTTTTAAGTCCTATGCTTGTTCTCCTTTTTCTTATCTCTTTTTACGCAGGCCGGTCCAGATAGGAAATCTCTCATCAGAGCAGATTACTGAAGATTGAAAGAATATCTTCACATTTTCCTAGTGTCTGCTAGAGCTTCATTTTCTGTGGGTTCGTGGTTTGTGATCTAGTTGACAGACCGTGGTTTGATCAGCTGTTTCCGTCTTTCATCTCTACTCACTGTCTGTTGGTCTCATTCTCTTAGATCAGCTTCCTCTTACATAGCAGGAAACTGGCGGGTCATGGTTTTCAGATTTGCATCTCAGAACTTTGTTGTAGAAAGGCACTGAAATTTCATCTCCTTGGTTCTGTGTTCAAAGATCCTAAGACTCTGACTGACCCATATTGGATCAGGTGCTCGTCTCTAACCTAATCACTCATAGCTGCTTATTCATGGTATCGAATATGTGTGTGGGCCAGGGAGTGTTCTAAGCAGTTTATACATTTATCTTACTGAAATCTGAAAATGGCAACATGAGCTAGGCACAGAGGAGAAACGATGTTGTCTTGCCCTATACCACAGAGCTAGTGCCTGTTGGAGCAATGATTTGAACTCAGCGTTTGACTTTGGTGCACTAAGCCAGTGCCCTCTATGCTGTGTAACTTACTGAATCTGAAGATAATGGACCTAATGTAATAATAGCTCCAGGGCTCCCCAGGGACTGCAGCCCACAGGTTGCAAATGATTAGTTTAAAGATTTAAAATGACTATTACAGAAGTAAGTTGAGTGGGTAAATCCCTAAGTGTGGTGAGAAAACATTGCTCCCACCCCTTTGTGGATGCTGGAAGCAGTGTGCTGTGGCTGTGTGGTCGTCCAGAACCCCCTTGGCTGTTTGACGGTGGAGAGGATTTCCTCATGTCCTTTCACACCCTCTTTCGATCTGGCTCAGCTCGGGAAGGGATGGGAGCAGGTGTTCTCATATGGTCGCAAACGGGCCTGCTCTGTATGTGTGCACGAATCAGGCCATGCTGCTCTCTCGACTTGTCCCAGGGGTCTCTTGGGACATCAAGCCGAAAGATCCCTCCCAGCAACGGCGAAGGGTGAATGGGAGGGTAGCCACAGCAGCTGTATTTTCTTTTCTCTAGGTTTTTATATATACTTGCATTTAAGTACTGCTGTAGGTTGCATATTGTAGGTCTTCTCACAATGACAGTGACATATTTCATACTAGGAGCAAAGCAAAAGGCAAGTTTTTGGTTGTAACTTTTTTTTTCCTCTCTCTCTATCTTAGATTATCCTGAAGGCAATAATTCAAGTGATTATCTTGTTCAAACAACAACATATCTTCCGGAAAACTTCACATACTCACCATATCTCCCCTGCCCAGAAAAACTGCCTTACATGAGTAAGTGCCATCTGATTTTGACTTAACTGTTTGCTTGTATCATAATAAAATAATAAAAGTCACATGGTTTGAACCCACCATGCTCAAATCATTACTGTGGGTGTTTATAATGTTTATATTATGTAGCATGTTATTTGACTTTCTTTTTCCCCTTGGCAAAGCATTTTCTTGGAGGGGGAGGAGGATTGAGAAGCTGAAGAGAAAGCTTATCCCTTACCCAGAAGTATCTCTATTGTGAGTTTGCTCTGTATTCTTACAGGTGATTTTTAAATTATTTTTTACATAGATAGATGGGTGGGTAAGTAGAAAATCATAATGTTTCAAAGGTTTTAAGAATTGATACAAATGGTCTTAAAATTACATTTCATTCTATAACTTACCTTCTTTACTTAATTTTTTGAGAAGTATGCATGTTGGTACATATGGATCTATTTATTTCCCTTTTCTTTTGTATAGTACATCTTTGAATAAATGTACCACATTTCATTTACCTTTTTCGCTGCTGATGGAAATTTATGTTGTTTCCTCTTTTTTGCTATCACAAAGCAGTGCTGTAAGGAGCAATAGTCCAGATTTCTCTGTGAATATGTGCTTGGGGTTCATACCCAGAAGTGGAATAGCTGGTTAGGCTGGCTTGATTGTGCACCAAAGCAGCTGTACCAATTTCTATCCCAACAGCAAAGCATGAATGTACCACTCTGATATCGGAGGATTTTTAAATTTTTGCTCATCTGGTAGATAAAATAATGGTGTCTCGTTTCTGTTTTCACTTTCCTCGTTACTAGTGGGTTTGAGTGACTTTTCATGTCTTTATGAGTGGTTTTCAGTTTTCTCTCCTGTGACTTGCTCAGTCAGTCATGTGCTTTATCAGTTCCTTATTAGTTAATTAGGTTTTTGTATTGATCAGTGGGAGTTCTCTATAAATGTTCTGGCAGTGATCTGTTGTCTGCTGTACATGTTGTAACATCTTTTCACAGTCCCTGGCCTGTCTTTTCATTTTGTTTATGGAGTCTTTATTTTACAGCAGTTTAAAATTATGATGTCTCCAAGTGTATCTATCACTGTATATTAAAGGTTTCTGCTTTTTTTGTCTTAAGAAAGCTTTCCTTACCCCAGGGTCATACAAATACTCTCTTTTATTTTCTTCTACTAATTTTACAATTTTAACTTGTGTGTAATAGGAGGTAGGGATCAAGATATTACATTTTGACTGTTTGGGCTATATGTGGCTATTTTGACTATTTTTTTTCTTTGTATGTTCCCCCTGCCCTTCAATTTTAAGCAAAGTTTGTACATATGTTTGTATTTTGATTTTTATATTATTAAAAATTTAAATAAACATCTTTTTAATTGCTTGTTCATCCTTGTGTTCTGATGTCCTCAGTATCTCAGTAGGCTTTTTATGTCTTTACCTGAGTTTTCTTTATTGAGGAAATTAGCCTTTGCCTGTGATATTTGTAGGATTTTTTTTTCAGTTTGTTGTTGATAGGTAATTATGTATCTACAATAAAAAGAAAGATTCGCCTTTTAACATCATCTAAAGCCATGGTTCTCAAACTTTGCGGAGCATCAGAATCACCTGGATGATCTTGTAAAGTGGAGTGCTGAGCCCGACCCTCTGAGTTTCAGAGTCAGTAGGTCTGGAGTGGGGTCTGAGAATTTTCATTTCTAGCAGGTTCCCAGGTGCTGTTGATGCTGATTATCCTTGGGCCACACTTTGAGACCCACTGATTAGAGTAGTGGGCCTCATTCCTAGCTGCACAGTTGCCTGGGAGCTTTTATAATTCTTAGGCCCAGCCCCTAAGTTTCTGATTTCATTGATCTGACATGGGGCCTGGGTATTGCTATTTAAAAAAAAAATTCTTGGTTGATTCTAAGTTTCCTGTCTCCTTTCTGATCCATAATGGAGAATGAAGCTAGGATCTTTGTAGCTTTGTCTTTGTCATTACTTTGTTATTGCATCCTTAGTTTTCTAAAATTGAATGTTTTTGTCTGTGCAGTACTGAAACCACTGAGTAATGGTCTGTTGAAATAGTGATTACAATAATTTCATTTTCATAATTTGCATACTCAGGGATTTATAGTTTTAGGAAGTCTCTCTGTTCTTGTTTTAGTTGCCATTTTCTTAATTAGTGCTTTATGAGTACTAATTAAACTCTGTTAAAAAGCATCTGCCTGCCAGGCCTTCCTGCTAGCACACCCCTCCTCCGGTCCCACAACTCGTGGTGCTTAGTGGTTGTGTCCTGGTCGCTACTCACGGCCTTCTCATTGAACATCTTGGTGCTACTGTTCCATCTCTCTGCCTGCCTCCTTCTACAGGAGAGGATCACACTCATTTGGCCAGCTGCCTTTTCACAGAAGGCCTCCTTGTGGACTGCCAGCTTTGGGTGCAACACCAATCCCTTGTCCAGTTAGCTGTGGCCAGAGTGACGGGGTTATTTGCTAGAAAATATGGCCACATACACACAACTCCTTAGAAAGGGGCCATGGGTATAGCCAACACAATGAGGCTTCTGCCAACAGGGCCTTGCATGAGCCAACCAGGAGAAGCCCCTTCACTAGTTGTGTGACCTTTGCAAAGTGGAGCCTCAGTTTACCTATCTGTGCAATCTAGGATTATAATATCAATTTCAGAGTGTTGTGAGGATAAAATGAAGCACAGTGCTTGAAACTTGATAGATGTGAATTTGACATTCCCTCTCCTTCTCCTCATTTCTTGAATGGTGTAGCCAGGCTTTACCATGATCAAGGGAATGAGAAACCTAGGAGAAATGTGTAGGGTTAAGGAGTTTTGTACTTAGCTATGCATCCTTAATTTTTTTTTAACAGGATTATTTCCCATCGATGATAGAGAATAGCATAATAAAATACCTAAGTGTAAAATTTTATTATAATGTCATACAAAATAATTGAATATGATACCTCCCCAAGTAATAGTTAAAGAAAGTCTGTGTAGTACTTAGCTGAAAACCATTCAAGTATGAATGATACTTAATTTTCCTGTAATCACCAAAAGTGAAGTTAAGGCTTAAAATTGGTGTGTGTGATTATCTAACTGTAACTTCTGTTTGATTTTTCTCTAGTGTAGCAGTGAGACTGCTGGCACTGGATTACCACAGAGAGAAAGTTTGAGCTTTTCCAAATGCAATACAGATAAGATTGATGGCATGAATTTCAGCAGTATTTTCTATTCAGTCGATTACGCTCTGAAATCTGTTTTAATGTGTGTTATTTATACAATATCAGTAAATATTTCTTTGTTACTGTTTACAGATTCTCCAGAGGGCAAATCTACTTTCAGCTTTATTAAATTTACATGAGACTCTCCATGCTAACAAAGTAAAATAGAAATTTCACCTTATCTAGAGCTAAAAGGTACAAAATGCTTGGCATGGATGTTTTGATTTTCCTGGATGAGGTAGAGATAGAAAATGTCAGTTGTGCACTTTGCATTAAAATGAAGAAGACTTATCCCTAGCTTTCCTGTCTTTTAATTCTTATTCGAGTAGAACACATTTGCAGTGACTTTTATGCGTTCTGTCCTTATCATGTGTGGAATAGTTCCCTTGATGGTTAGAACTTGATAGTTCTGCAGTTGCTAGCCTTATGTACATAACAGAAACTACAAGGACTTTTTAAAGATGAGTTTAAATAATTCAAATGAAAATCGGCAAAGAGGGAAAAGATAAGCAAATCAATTTCGTAAGAGCTCAAATAAGGCTTAATGTGACAAACCATCATGCCTGTATTTATTGAGAAAAGAGAGATGGGAGCCATTTTAGAGTAAATAAGCAGTTGTGGAGCAGTGGCTGCATGTGCGGCGGGCCCTTGTTGTTCTTAGAGGCAGACAGAGCAGACACAAAGCTGAGTGTGATCCCGTGTCTGCCCACCAAAGCAGGTAGCACAGTCGGAGAAGGGCATTGGGCTAACTGCTTACAAAAGGGTGATTATGGGATGAAAGGGAGACTTCAGAGAGAGGGGACATTGAAACTGTGTCCTGCAAGATAGTTCAGTAGGTACGTGAGGGGAACAGCTTCAGAGCATGAAAGGCTCTGTATTGATGGGAATGAAGAGTGACCCTCTGTGTTGTGGGGCATGTGGGAAATGAGGCTGGATAGGGAGGTGAAGGGCCTTGTGTAGAGGACTAGTCAATCTTTGGACTGTGTGGGTGCCATGAATCTCTAGGCTTCCATGAGATGAGCTTCAGAGGGAGCAGAGCCCCTGAGCTTGTAGGCAACAGGTTGATTTATGGCCATGTGTCTCTCTCTCTAAGATGAGGGTGCAGTTTTCCAAGAGTCTAGGGGCAAAAAAGGGTAAAACAACAAAAAACCAAAAATACTGCTTTAGAGGACATAATACTCATCTGCTTTAGGCAGATGAATGATGTGATAAGGATGGTATTTCAGAAAGGTCATTCTGATAAGAAGTTGAAAAATGGATGACAATGGGGAAGTACCAGAATCTGGGAGTGCAGGGGTCCAAGAGAAATGACAAGGGCATGTGCTGAGGCTGTGGCATTGGAGAGAGGTGGAGGCACCAAAGAGAAGCTGTTGGGGTGCTGTTAGCTAGATGTGGTGACCAACTGAGAGATCTGGATTAATTTCCAGGCTTCTGGCTTAATCACCATTAAGTGAAACAAGTAATGCAGGATAAACTCTCATTTGGAGAATGGGGAAGTTAATGGGTTCAGTATTGGGTCTGTTTTGTTGAAAGCTCAGGAGAGTTAATTTGGGGTTTGAATTTCATCAGAAAGATCTGGGCTGGAAATAAGAGGAAGTGAGACTAGAAGAAGTCTAAGAGTGTGTTTGTGGAGCATCAGCACTTACGGGGCGAGGGGGTGTCAGTAGAAGATGGTGTCTCAGAGGCCAAGAAGGAGCCAGTGTTCTATCTTGTCACATACCTCAAAGAAAGCAGGTAGAATCATGAACTGTGAAAGGTCATTGAATTTGGGACATAGAAAAAATAATGGGACCACAGCCAGCACAATTTCAGTAGAGTGA